GGTGTTTTGCCTGACCAGCTAAAGTCACTAGTAGCAGCTGGACAGGACACACTCTGCCCGCCACCAAAGACTGAGGGAAAAGAAAGGTGGATGGAGAGAAGGGGAGACAGATGCGGGGGAGAAAGGCAGACAGGAAAGGTGACAGCAGACACCACGCTGTGGCAGGGCCAACAGATGCTCGTTTTATTTCCTGTATAACTTTTGATGTCAACTGTGGTTGTATGCTGATGGTAATGACATACGTGATACGGTTTGTTTCAGTTTGATCAAACAGTGCACTCTCTATTTGTGTGACACTGTTAGATGCTTTGGGGTCCTTAGGGACTAGAAAAGCGCTATACAAATGCAGGCCATTTACCATTTACCATCAGTGTCACCTAAACTAGTTCGTATTCGTTAAAAGACATTGGACTTGTTCCACAAGAGGTGTTACAGTTTAGAAGTTATGATGGATATCTTTAGACAGTGTCCTGGAAAGGACTCATGATGCTGCACAGAAGAAGAGGCTAATTCGATATTAATGCACAGTTTTAATCTGAAAACTGTCCCATGGGACAAATTATGAACATTTTTCAGGGCTAAAATAGTTTGTGGTGAAAAGGGAGAGGTGACAGGAAAAATGGGTGGAGCTTATCTGCTGACAAAACACACATTTAATGTATTTGATTCACAAATACCTTTATTACTAGTTCACTTTGTCTGAAGTGTATAATTCCTCATGTTTATGTGCGATCATGTTTGGTCCTTTGCTGTTCACACTTTGGCTTTGCAGAGAATCTTCAGTTTTTGCAACACTATACAGCTAATTGTTTTTTATAGTTCGTCGCTCAGACCAGAACTGTGCTAACACAGGAAGCACGATGAATCCTGTAACCCGCTGCTCTCATGGTGTCACACCTTTCCTTATATGAAATAAAATGAACCAATAACATGATAACATCTTAGCTAAGCCTTGTCACTGCATAGATCATTTTTTTTTAATGAAACACACCAAGACTTTAGTGAACAGACACCCTCGTTTCTTAACTTTTTTTGTAAAACATTTGCCCATTTATCCAACAACATGTATTTTGGAGCCGGGGGTTTCGGTTTTCACTTGACTCAATAAGGTAGTCTTCCTCTAAGTTTTAAATATTTTCTGTGGAAACTTAGTGTGATCATCCATGCATCCGTTGGGAGCATGACTATTTGCTGTATTTTTCATTGTTGAAAACATTAGTTGTCGATATAGTTTGTCATGAGAATATTTTGCCTATGATAATTGGCCAGAGACATCATCACCTTCTGGGAATAATAAATTTCACTGGCTATTTCCACACAGATCTGGTGACTTTTATTTGTTATTTTTTTTGCTTAGGTTTCGTACAGATTTGCAACCGACTGGCTGATCTTGCCTTTTTGTACAAAAACAAAACCAATGTCACAGTGAATGTCCTACTTTTCTATCCATGTGTTGCTCTTTTCTCCCATAAGTCTCTCTGTTCTGCTGTATTTTTAAACAATTAGAAAATCACATCATTGGCCAGCAGCTGTTGTAATCTTTTGGCAGTCTCCCAGAAAGACGTGTGTTTTTCTTTGTTTGTCTGGCAGTTGTTTGTTATTCTCCATGTGTGAGGGGAAAAAGTGAGTTGAAGTGCCCTCGGACGTGTTTGTGGGAGTGAGGCGTGCTGACATGGTTGGGGAGGGAATAGGCTTCGGCCCGTTGGGAGGAAAAGGGAGGGGGGTTAGGCGGGGGTTGACGTACTGATGCACCACAGGTTTTTGCCATTAGGTCTGGTGGTTTTATCGCTATACTAAGACCTTACCGTATTTTAATATATGTATCCTTTCAGTAAGAGTTAAAGATAATCTATCTGGGTTTGTAGTAAATTCACGAGAAACAAGAGCATAGCAGCATAACGTCCAGGCTGAGGCTGTCTGTGAAGAGTTTGGGATTTGTCTCTTGAGAAAAACATGGTAATAATAAATCCTCTGATGTTTTCCTCACAACAAGGAGAGGGAAACTATGCCATACATGATCTCTGGCTTTATGCTGATCCAACATAGGCTTATTTGGCGGCACAGAAAGAAAAAACAATAGCTATGTGTTCTGAGCAACAAAAAAAACCCAAAACCCTTTCCCCCTAGCTGTACCCCACCGCTGAGGCACTGTGTTTTTGGAGTCAGTTGGAGAGTTTAACATTGTTATCAAACTGTCTTTCACTTAGACTTTAATTATTTCCAAATGTTCCATCTGATTGCTGTTGGCAGCCTTTGCGTGTTTAGTGTGATGTGTTTGAAATGTGAGCGGGCCTTGGCTGGCACAAGCCTGTGAGGTCTGACCCCAAGAAGAAAAAAAAAACTTGGCCAAACTCTTTCTCATAGTGTACTTGACCTTCTAATGTAAAAGTGCTGTTTGTTACCTCACTCGGAACAAATTCTCTTGTACCACCCCGAGTCCCACTTGAGGTTTGTGCATCTGCAAAATGCACCCTCATTGTCTTTAAGTGGGTCATACTCACTTAAAACGTAAAGGAAATTTACAGCATAGGAAATTGTCAGGTTGCGGTTAGGTTAGTTAACCACCACAAAGGTTGTGGCCTATGAATAGAAGTTGCATATCATGCAAGAGTGTGAATGGTAAGTGCAGTCATGTGAATCTAAACGAACCATTGAGCCGGTCAAGCATTGCAGCATTAATGGATGATAGAAATGCTCATTATAGCTGACTGTGCAGAAGAGAAAGCATAGCCAGACTGACTGAACTCCGAACATCTACTGGAAAGTAAAAGAGATATGTGTACATCCAGTTCCCCCGTTGCCAAAAACTTATTAATATGAACATTTAATTACTGAGAGTTGACAGTTGTATGACATGCTTTAAAAATGATGGTGAAACCAAGACCAAAATCCTTATATAAATGTCTTTAATGTTGTATACTGGGACAAAAGGAGGTGCCCTAAAAGTAAATGATGATAAACAATAATAAACACAGTTTTATATTTGGTAGTTGTTTGAAACAAACAAACGAATAACTGTGCTTAAAATCCACTGCTTCTCTAGTGAGTCTCTTGTCCTGTCACCGAACTTCAAATTCATTTTCTTGGACTGCAGCTGGCGACAGTAGTCCATGTCCTTCTTCGCAGCCTCATAGCTTCACTTAGTCCTGGTAAGAATGGCCCTCCAACTCAAAGTCAGTCCCCAGAACAGAACAAGGACTACTGATATCAGCTGCAGGCAGTGGAATTTAAGGGACAAGGCGTTCTCTAGAGCAGTACTGGTTACCACCAGGTGAACTTTAAAATAAAAAGTGAGAGGGTTGTCCGTTCGTGGATGGCGTTGTTCTCTCAGACAGATAAAACAAAATAAAAGAAAAGACTAAAAGAATAAAGGACTCCGAAGACACTTGGCCAGCCCAGGTAAAGTCTATGTGTGGGAACAACTTGGGCAATAAGCAAATGGACTAAGGTGGTGACTATGTTCTGTGAATCCCACAGAAGGCCTAAATCTTTCAGCCAGTCAGTAAATGCACGACCTTCTAGCAGTCCGTAAGGAGCCCAGTCAGCTGGGGGCCTTCTTTGTTGGATTTGGATGGCTTCACTGTGTCTGCATGGGTTTTCTGCTACAGTCTGAAAACATGCAGATTGGGTTTACTGGCAACCTTAAATTGCCCACTATGTGAACATGAGCATGAACGGTTCTTTCTCTACATCTGTATCTGATCCAATGTCAGTTAGCATTGGCTCAAACCACACTGTGGGCATCAGGTTACGAAGGTATCAACTACAAGGGATGGTTTGCAGTAAATAAGACCTCAGATTTTAAGAATAGAAAGATTTCAGATTTTTAAATAGTCTCCATGATCGGTAAAACCTACTGACTGACCTTAACAACAATTAGTTTATGCAGTTTTGTTACAATACAAGTGTTCACCAGATGTTTTGATTGTTCAGGAAATTGCTATTTTCTTGCTGACATATGCAAAGTTGTAAAGTATGAACTAAATCAGTACTGTAGACCTTTGCTCAGACTCTAAAAGATGTGGACTGCAAATCCTGGTTCTTGTTGAATGTTAAATGTAACCATTGCAGGAAATCGGTGAAGTTACTTTAGGGCATTTATATTTAGAATCCTGTGGGATGATGATGCTTTTGTGTTTCATGGTCCTCAGCATACATACAGTTAGAGTGAGTGACATGGCACCATTTAGAGGAAAAACCTAGACTGTAGGGGAATCAGAAAAACAAATGTATCCAGTCATTCTACTGACATCTAGTTTTTGGGTTTGTTTTTTTTTTTTTTTTAGCATTTGATGATTGTTAAAAAGTTTCACCTCATAAAATCCAATTTTAGCATTAAAAAAAGTCTAGCTAAACCACCTGTGGACTACAGTGGATGAGAGGTTGGAGTACTAAGTTATGCGCTCACACTAAAAAGGTTAGTAAGGTCTAATAAACAGACGTATCTGACAATAAATGCTCAGTAACAGACTAATAATATAGAAGCATTTTACTAACAAAAAAACTGGAGCACAGGCTTCTTACATATTTTTGGCCAGATTATCCTATCAGATATTCTCCAAGAGGCACCAACAGCATAAACAGATGAAATGTATTGTTCTGTGAGGACAAGGTGGCAACTACAGCTGCCTGTGTCAAGATTAAAAAACAAAAACTTAACTTTAGTAAGTTAAAGTGAATGAATTATTTTTTTAAAAAGCTTCCTGTGCAGTTATGAAGGAGACATTTAAATATAGAGAGGTAAAATGCTTTTGTAATAGGCTATAAATAGGATTTTTCTGCTGTTAAGCTGTGCTTTTTAACATACAAGTCTATGGGGTATGGCCTGCTCAAGTGGCCACTTAAGGGACTGCAGTTTTTGTCACTCGTGGGTTAGTTTCCCTTTTAAGCCCTCAAGAATGTTGCTTGGATTTAAATTGACAGCAATATATGAGGCTATGAATCATACACATGCTTTACTATTTATTTTTATTGCAAGAATCATTGTTTCTCTGCTGTAGGACCGCTGTTTCGCAGCCCATGTGAGTTGCTGCCAGTGGGGACGGGACACCCAGTGCAAGCCATGCTGAAGAGCTTCACTATCCTGTCAGGGTGTGCAAGCAGGGGCACCACCAGCTTGCCTGAGGAGGTCCACATCATCAACCTGAGAGGACATGCTCATGAGGGACCAGACAACTCTCCAGTAAAAGTGAGTCATCCTTAGTCAAAGAACCTGAAACTTAAATTGTCTTAAGTTAACCTGTAAATGCTTTAATGTTGATCAAAATTTAGTAGGCAGAGAAACTATATTCATAGATTTATTTATATTAATTTTTCAATTTAGCAAGAATTTCAAATTAGAAGTGACCTGCCATAAGCTGGATGAAGATTGTAAGACCTGCTGTGGTAATATTTCCACTGCCCTAGTTTTCTCAGTTCTGATAATGGCTGCAGTTATTTTCCATTTTACTTCAAGGAGACTTCTTGGCAAAAGTGAACGCCTTTTGTATTTTATTGATTCCACTCATTAAACAAAAAACAAAAACAGTGTCAGACATTACGATCAGGTGAGCTTTCAAAGAAATATTTTTTTAGCGTGAGTAATTAACACAGTGATAAGTCATTTAAGCACCAGGTATTTTCCCACCATTTGCCTCATTTAAACTCATTTAAACTGTCAGCACATCTACCGATAGTGTTCCTGTATTTGATGTTAACTGTAAAACCGCTCCCTATCTTCGGGTGTTAAACGGCACATCTCGTGGCTGGAGTCCCAATCATCAGCCATAGTTTGGAGATGAATCACAGGCCCACGTCCCTCAAAACAACGGTGTCTAAGTTTTAAACTTCATCCCCCTCAGTTAGAGAAGTGTGAAAAGCAGCATGTATAGACTTGTCATTGCAGTTGTGTTGCTGATGTAAGCTTTAGTGTTGCCACTAAATGTACAGAAGCACAGTGTGTGTGGGTATGCTTCATCAGCACATATATAAAGAAATGTTATTTGGGTGGCTGAGAGGGAAACATTTAAATAGCTGTGAAATGGAAACTTATGCATATCTTGACACTTTATGTCTTATTATAGACGTTTTAGTCATCGCTGTCGGTGGGCACTTCACAGTGGTCGTGAACTACTCACGAGACGAGAGCTACGTACGTCACACACATGATAAAAGGAATGACTCGGCCAGTAACAAAGCTTAAACTGAACTAAAACAACTGAAGCCTCACCTTTAAGGAAAAATGTAATGTAATATTAAACTTAAAATGGTGCAATGTCGAAAGAATTTATGTTCCTTTATAGTGACTAGCAGAGTTTACATTGCGACTCTTGTAGATAAACATTATTATCCAGTTGATAAGTTACCGAGTCAGTATTTATGGAAAAAAGATGGACTTCAGTATTGCATGCGCACGTGGCCTTCACAGTCAGAAACTACACTGGATCACTATAATTGTAATAATTTGAACCCCAAATACCAGGGATTACCATAAGTGCGATGCAAATTGTAGCTGCTCTTATTTATGAATTTCTGTTCAATCATTTAGTAGATTTTTTTTGGATGTGTCCTGCAAAGTTTGAAGGCTTTGCTCTGTTTCATCTACTTCCCGATTTACTGTGTCAGGGTGGATTATGATTACATACAGATAGATATTGTATTCACACAGAACAAACTGAACTGGGTTTTGTCTTCACCTGCTGAAAGTTATGATTGTTGGCCTTAGCACATTCCTCACCTTAAGGTAATTCCCAGACCAACTGATTGGCGTTTTAATAGACAGAGTGCAAGTCAAAGTATGCCTAGTATGGATTTAAGACTTACATGACAAAGAGCGTTCCTGTTTTAAGCTTGAACAGACTTGCATGGAAAATCAAACAATCCTAACCATATTTTAGCTGCTGTGAAAGTTGCTCGCAACCGACAAGACTGACTGTTTAAATCTTGTTGTCACTTGCTCTCGGGAGATCTTTCTGCACGTCGTCATCGACCAAATGATGACTCATAAATACAGTCAAACAGCAATGTCTGCTAGAACTAATTTAGCACACCTTTGGTTTCCTTATTCGATATATATCCTCATTTGATATATGTCCTTATTTTCAGCTGACTTTATTTATTCTAAGTTTAAGATCAGTGAGAAGTCCATCACTAAACTTCACCAGTGTTGAATTTCTACTAGCTTAACTACAGTTGGATTATTCTATAAGTGGTGTACAAAAGTTGAATGTTATTCTAATTTGCTGTATTTAAAACTACAGCTTTATAGCACAGTAAAGGACTTAGTTCCAGAGTCTGTGAAACGCATCACTTTATCTAGCTTTCGGTCACCCATCACCTCCATGGTCAAGTGAGGACTAGCGCGGAGGAGGGAGAAATCCAGCTGTCTGTTCCCCTGCCTACAGCCTTGGCTACAGAAGGTCACGCCAGGACTGGTTGAGATTAGGTGGCCCTACAGAAGCTCACTCTGTTACTGGAGGTTTCTGCTTATGATTAGATAAGATATCCTAAAGGACACCCAGACCCTCTACCCACTCTGGTCCTTGATTTTGTTTCCACCTGAGACGTGGGCACAGATTGGCCTGTTCAGATACAAGCAGCTCCTGACAGCCTTCAACAGGACCGTGTTGGAGGGCAAACAATGCGTCAGACTATGGTCTTATTGACACAATCTGCCCCTGATCTTTTGTGACCGGAGGTGGTGATAATCCAGTGAGAAAATGAAGGTGAAACAAGGATATCTTAACATCCTAGTCTGCATTTGGGCAAGGATGTTCTTACTTAGAAGGCTGTTGGAGAAAAGACCTCATTGGTCTTCATTAATTATCCTTGACCACAGAGCGTCTAAACCCATTACTTCTTTCAAAAAACAAGTAAAGTTGTAAAAAAGACAGTTTCTACGGCAAATTCTTGAGCTCACTTATAACTTATAAGTTGATATATAGTTTATATAATGACATATAAACTTCGAAAGAACTCTTTTGAGTTTTCAGCAGTAATACTGTTTGGCTTAAAAGGTGGAGCATGTAGGAAAATAGCTGTAGTCAGCTTGGCTTCCCAACAGTTACTGTGATTTCCAACACAAGACAACATCCTGGTTTTGTGGCAAAGTAGAACTCCCACATGAAGTCCTCAGACCACTCTTGCAGCGTAATCAGTTTCTCCTCTGTCCATCTGCTGTTTTTGTCCAACATATTTTAGAAAATTATGGCTAAATACAGCAGCATTGTTTATTGACAGTACAGTAATTCAGATATGTTAACTGTCAGTGAAAAGACTGTAGTAGTCCTATTATAAGACTCTATTTTATGTTAAGATACTAAGGAAACTGGGACTGATGACTGAAAAGCAAGTAATGCCTAATTTAAAGTTGGAGTTCAGTTTTAGTGTATGAATACATTTCTTGTCATTGAATTTGAAGGATTGCACATTTATTTCACTCTAATTAATCGATCCTTTCCTGAGTATGCTTTAGTGTGTCTCCTTTGCTTATTTTCTAAGCCTTCATGAAGGCGCCTGGTCAGTGCATGGTACTGTAGACCTTCTCTGAGGTTTCCTCCACACCTCAGCTGATAGGGGACGAGGTTGTGGCTGGGCTGCAGTACAGTCTGTATTTGGATGTTTTGAATTTGTCGTTGTGAGCTTTGCCTGTCTTCAGCTTCTGGAGAACACAATGTGCCCCGGTGACTCCTAATAAGTGTCTGCTCAGCTAAGGCTTGACCAGGTAGTGGAATAAATCTGCCATTGCATATGGTGTGCATGGGCTAATATGGACAAGGGAGATTGCATGGTCAGTTTCAGACACTTTCATACACACGTGTACAGTCGCGCAGACATCCTGCAGCTGCAGTGTGTGAGGCCTGCTTCAGATCTCTTTCACGCCCATGTGTAAAAGTCATGGCTTGCAGTTTGTCTATGTTTTCAGTAAAGACGTGAAAGCAATGAATTGTTTCCTGCCTGTACCAGTGAAACCATTCTTTATGGGTATTAACCAGTAGGTATGAACTGCTACTCATTGAAAGAAACGGCACAGCTGGACCTGACTCACAATACACACTTTGGCTTCTGGCCAATCTCACACTAAAG